GGGATTCAGTGACTATCTGTGCTGGTCAAAGAACCAGGTTAACATCTGTGTGGATAAACTTGAGGAATGCCAGGATATATTATAAATGGGCGAAAGGTTGCAGATGGATGAGTGTAGTGTGATCCCATTTTTACTTTTGAAAATCAAGTTTCTGTAAGTATTTGTTCAAGCAAACTGTCAATGAATGTGTATTACCAAAACAGCTAACAGTGGTAATCTGTTGAATTGGTGGGGATTCTCATCGTATAAATTTTGTCTATATTGTCTACACTTCTTTATTATTTGAAATATTTTTATGACATGTATCTTATGTTTGTAATGGCTAAGGATTAAAAAGATAAAAAAGTAAAACAGGATGTAAAACTGAGTGGTATAGTCTTGATTTCATAAAAATACTAGTGTAGAAGAGATACCAGAGGAAAATGTTCACTGGTAATCTTAGTGGTGGGTTTAAAGGTCATTTTATGATTTTTCTTTTTTCAGTTTTTCTGTTGTTTTCGCTTTCTCAATTGGCATAATTTAGCTTGAAAAAATAACTGAAGTAATTTTTATAAGCAGCAGAAAGATTTTTTTAAACCAAGTTATTGAGCCTTTAACTCTGAAAAACATCCTCAGTGAATGCCAGGAGGCAGGCCTCATCTGTGCCGTATCACAGCTCCGCTGAGTAGGTCGCTGCTCCGGGGGGCTGTGTTGGCAGACGAATTACCAGGTAGATCTCACACGGACAGAAATGCCTGCCACAGACTTGTGCTCAGCTCCTTGTCCTTATTGCCAGTTATTGGTGTGTGGGTTCAGTTTCTTTTTCATCACTGGGAGGCTTGGTTTGAGTAATCAGCTTGTTTCTTAGTATTACTTAAGCATTATTCAAGTTGTTGTGACAGAGATTCAAAATAGTGTTTCTAATAGTGTTTTTAACTTCTTGTTCCACTTTGCCTGGCTGCTTTGCCTCACCCATGTGTCACCGTGGGGAGGGAGAGGGGATGTGGAGGTAGGGGCCCTGCACACATCCATTCCATTCCCAGCTCATGGGCTCGATCTCAGTCACAGGGTCACACCTAACTTCAGGGGACTCTACGAGGTGTAGTCATTTGCTGGGCGGACATGTGCCTACTCATATTTTAGGTGGCATTTCTGTCACTCAGAGGGAGCAGAGATTCTGGGCATTCTTCAGTCTGCCACAGTTTACCCCACTGGCCACTCTCTCCCACACCAAGTACTTCCTCTGGTCCAGAGGGTGGGGTGTGCCTTTTCTCACCAGGTGCCAGTGCAGCTTCACACAGTCATACTCTAACTCATACGAGCCCCGGCCACCCTGAATGCTGTCTCCATCACCCGCCAAAAGCAGCATGACCATATGGACTCGCCCACTCAAGAAGGGGAAGAATCGCCATCCACAGCTGCACTCGTTCCCCATGGAATTTGCAAGAGTGTCTTGACCAGGTGACCCCTAAAGTGAGCAGTCCTGGGACCTGGGACCCAGCAGTCACTCCCAGGTGTACACCCAGCAGAAACGAGGACCCTCATCTACCAAAAGACAAGTACAGGAGTGTTGACAGCAGCTTTAATCATCACTGCAAACCACAGACAACTCAGGTGTCGGTGAGAAGTAGATTGTGACCTATTCATGCAGTGGTGTGCTGTGCATCTGTGTAAAGAGTGAGCTGCTGGTGCCTGCAGTGTTGATGACTTTCCAGGCAGAATGCTGAGTTTAAGCAGATACATATTTGGGGGAGTGATGAAAATGTTCTGCAAGTGGATGGTTGTGATGGTATTGCATTTAGGAATATTCAAAAAACACTGAGCTGTGTACTTTAAGATGGTGAGTTTTATGGTATGTGTTATAATTAAGAGTCTGACTCTTGGTTTTGGCTCAGGTCATGATCTTAGGGTTGTGAGATCAGGCCCTGCATCAGGTTCTGTGCTCAGGGCAGAGTTTGCTTGGGATTCCCCCTCTCCCTTCCCCCTCAGCCTCTTCCCCTGTATGCGCCCACGCACACTCTTTCTCTCAAATAAAAGCTTTTTTTAAAAATGGGTACATGATGAATAAAATGCAGGCACAGAAACATGTTGTATAATTCTATTTAAATGAACTTATTTATTTATTTATTTTTAAAAGTAACTCTACCCCTAGCATGGGGCTTGAATTCACAACCCCAAGATCAAGAGTCACATATTCTACTGACTGAGCTGGTGAGGTGTCCCAGTTGAAATTTTGTTAATGGGCAGAATTCTTCTATAATAAAAGAGGTGATTGCCCATGGAGGGGGAGCCTTTTGGATGACAGAAATTTTCTGTGTTGGCTTGGCGGTGGTTCAACAGGTGTCATAAGGAGTTCATCAAGATATGTGTGCTTTATGCAAGTTCTAGCTCACATAAAAGAGAAACACGTGTTGAAAGGATGCCCTGGCGGGGCCATAGAGCACATGTTATCTGGTTACTCCCTCTGCTTCTGTTCCCATTGCTGCTCCACCTCACCCCCAGCTTTGCCCTCAGGGGCGGGTTCTTGTCCTGGATGTCCACATTGGAAATGCGTCCGGAAGGCATCCCTTCATGGGGTACACAGCAGGGTCTGTTTCCCACTGGTGCAGATTTGGGGCAAGAAGTGATTGTTTAGGGTCATTTTTTTTTTTAAGATTTTATTTATTTGGTGGAGGGAGAGGGAGAAAGAGGCTCCCTGCTGAGCAGGGAGCCTGACGTGGGGCTTGATCCCAGGACCCTGGGACCATGACCTGAGCCAAAGTCAGATGCTTCACTGACTGAGCCACCCAGGCGCCCCTGTTTGGGGTCATCTTGGATGGAGCTCCCTGGAAGTGGAGCTCTGGGGTTGGGATAACACTTGAGTTGCCCCCAGGGCACTCTAGGCTCCTGTGATTGACCAGGCATTGGCTGTGGTATGGTAGGCATCTGAGATGGCCCTCCAAGATTCCTGGCCCCTAAGGTACACACACCTCCTCACAGCTACCATGGAGGGATTTTGCAGATGTAATTAAGGTCCCAAGTCAGCTGACATAAGGTGGCAAGGCCCTAGGTGGGCCAACCTAGTCATGCATGCCCTTGGAAAGCAGTTTTCTGTAGCTGGTGGCAGAAGAGAAGTCAGAGAGGTGTTCTATGTGCTGTTCTTGGTGATACAGGTGTCCCTAGGAGCCAAGAGCAGCTGACAGCTGGCAAGGAGTCAGGGACAATCCTATGGTTGTAGGGAACTGATTTCTACTGACATCTGAATGAGTTTGGAACAGGTTTCCCAGCACTTACAGATGTGACCTTAGCCTGGCTGACTCCTGTGTGACCCTGAACAGGGGTCCCAGTCACACTGGGTTGGACTTCACACCTTGAGAGGTGTGAGATGACAGACGTACTGTATTTGTGCTGCTGTGTTTGTGGTGCCTTGTCCTGCAGTGATGGACAGCCAAGAGTGGGCATTCGGGGGGAGGGGCAGACCTTGGGGAAGGCAGAGTCCTGCCTGCACGTGGTTCCCAGTGGGGTGGAGGGTGGGGGCAGGCATCACTCTGAGCAGGGGAGCTGGGCATAGCACCCCGGCAGCTGTAAGGTTAAATAACCCCTGACAGAACGAGCTTTTCCACAATGACACGCCAGTGGGATTCAGAGTGCCTTGTAGATCACCAACACTCCCTGCCAGTCCTTACGGTCTCCCTAAAGGTCAGCAGTGTTTCAGTTCTCCCACCCTGGATTGCTTTTGTCTGTTTTTTAACTTGATGTGAACAGAATCACAATGAACTCTTACTGTGCCTAGCTTCTGCTGAACATTACATTTGTGAGACTCATCTTTGCTTTTGTATAGCAATTCTTCATTGCTACATATTAGTCTCTGGTAGAGTACTCTTCAATCTGCCCATCTCTCTGTTGGTTATTTTGGTGGATATAAATGCTGTGAACATTCCAGCTCTAGACTTGTACAGAGGAGGCTTGGTGCCGTTGAGTGGATGAGAGGGGTGGGTTTTAGTGCCCCGGTGGAGGTGTTCACCCTAGATTGGATCAAGGACAGTGTAGCACATGTAAGGAGGGAGGGTGTGGACTGGTAGGTTGGCAGATCGGGTAGGAGAAATTTAACGTTCTCATCTCATTTCTTTTTTTTTTTTTTTTTTAAGGTTTTATTTATTTGACAGAGAGACAGCTAGAGCAGGAACACAAGCAGGGGGAGAGGGAGAGGGAGAAGCAGGCTTCCCGCGGAGCAGGGGGCCCGATGCGGGGCTCGATCCCAGGACCTGAGCCGAAGGCAGGTGCTCAACGACTGAGCCACCCAGGCGCCCCTCACCTCATTTCTTCTGTTCTCTCATTGAGGTAAGGGCATCAGCTGAGAAGGAGGAGGGAGGATTTGGGCATTTGAGAAGAGAGGACAAAGCAGGGGTGGTCTTGTAGGAGAGTGAGGAAAGTGTAGACATTGCCAGTGGCTCTCAGAGCCCCGTTCATTAATCAAGGCTTTGTAAATGTAGAGAGAACTCAGTTGGCATAGATACAGACACAGAATGAGAAGCAAGAGGAATTTAACCCAAGTTGGGGTTTTTCCATGCAGGGATGATAGAGGAAGGGCAGGGGGAGTTAGGATGATTATAATATATAACCCCAAATAAACATAATACCATAGAACATGGGATCTAAGCTGGGTACAAAGGGAAAGGAGGACAATGAAGAGGTGGCAAGATCAGTACATTTGTGTTTCTTTGGAAATATGTCTTAATTTTTTAAGAGTCCAAGCCACATCCCTCCCCATCTACCACCCAGCCACTATGTCCCTGGAGTTGGGTGTTGGAGGTGCAGCCCCAGAGAAGCCTTCTCAAGTGGTTGAGGTAGGTGGTTGAGATGCACACAGGGGTAAAGAGTGTGGGCAGAGGAAATAGTCCTCTTTCCCACTCTTTGGATGTGTTTTGTCCCCCACCTGCTCCAGCAGATTCCTGTCTGTTGACAAAGGGAAAAAATGATCTTACTCTCTTTTATTTCCTAGAAACTTGTGACAAGAAGGTGACTCAGGAGCCTGAATTTCTGAGGATGGAAATCTGCCCAAGACTATGTCTGAAACACTCACAGTGATGGAGCCCCCTGCCTCTGAGTCTGGGGCATTCCCTGAATCCAGATTAGGGGGGCTGTTGGGAAACCCAGAAGGGCAGAGCCTGCGGAGCTGCCCCCCTCAGGAGGGCAGTTTCAGGGGGGTGACAGTTACCCATTGGAAGATCCAAGCAGGAGAGGCAGCTCGGGTGGGCAGTAAGTCAGGAGAAAGCCCAGTTCTGAGCTCAAACCTCCTCCTCCTCCAGAGAGAGCTTGTGGAAGGGGAAGCCCACCAGTGTGAGATTTGTGGCAAAAGCTTCACATTTAACTCGGACCTAGTTAGACATCAGATTTCTCATGCTGGGGAGAAACCTTACAGATGTGAGCAGTGTGGGAAAACCTTCAGCCAGAGCTCCCACCTTGCTGAGCATCAGAGAGGTCACACTAGAGAAAGACTCTATGTGTGCAACATGTGTGGAAAGGACTTCATTCACTATGCAGACCTCGCTGAGCACCAGAGAGCACATGCAGGAGGAAAGCCATTCCGATGCATGCAGTGTGGGAGAGCCTTCCATCACAGCTCAGACCTGGTTCGGCACCAGCGAATTCATACCCGGGAGAGGCCTTTCGAATGCAAGGAGTGTGGGAAAGGCTTCAGCCAGAGCTCCTTGCTTATTCGCCATCAGAGAATTCACACAGGAGAAAGACCTTATGAGTGTAATGAGTGTGGAAAATCCTTCATTAGGAGCTCAAGCCTTATTCGACATTATCAGATCCACACAGAAGTGAAACAGTATGAATGTAAGGAGTGTGGGAAGGCCTTCCGTCATCGCTCAGATCTCATCGAACATCAGAGAATTCACACTGGAGAGAGGCCCTTTGAATGTAATGAATGTGGGAAGGCCTTTATTCGGAGTTCAAAGCTTATTCAGCATCAGAGGATCCATACTGGGGAAAGGCCTTATGTGTGCAATGAGTGTGGGAAGCGCTTCAGCCAGACATCAAACTTTACCCAGCATCAGAGAATTCACACTGGAGAGAAACTCTATGAATGTAACGAATGTGGGAAAGCTTTCTTTTTGAGTTCGTACCTTATTCGACACCAGAAAATCCACACTGGAGAGAGAGTGTATGAATGTAAGGAATGTGGGAAAGCTTTTCTCCAGAAAGCCCATCTCACTGAACATCAGAAAATCCACACTGGGGATAGGCCCTTTGAATGTAAGGACTGTGGGAAAGCTTTCATTCAGAGCTCCAAGCTGCTTCTACATCAGATTATTCATACCGGAGAAAAGCCTTATGTATGTAGTTACTGTGGGAAAGGCTTTATTCAGAGGTCAAATTTCCTTCAACACCAGAAAATTCATACTGAAGAGAAACTCTATGAATGTAGTCAGTATGGGAAAGACTTCAGCTCAACCCCAAACTTTAAAAATAATCAAGGTGTTCACCAAGAAGGACTTCCTTTGAGTAAGACCACCATACATTTGGGTGAGAAGTCTGCAGGTCAGGGGGAACATCTAGATAACTTATAAAATAATGACTCTCCAACTCAGTGAGTGATATTTAGAAGGGAGTGGCATGAGTCCTAACTCGTATGACTTTGGAGGTTTCCAAAGTCCTAGGCAGGGCTGCTTTCAGAGTGGACTGTCACCTACCACTGTGCAGCAGCACTGGGGTGCTGTCCTCCACTATGAACGTGTGACGTCAGGAGAGCCACGTGACTGGACAGCTGACTTTGAGCTGGAACAATGCTGGGGGATGGGCAAGGTCTCAAAGAAGCTTTCTATATGTTATTGCACAATTATAATTCACCCAAGGTAAAAATCCTTTTTAAAGCAGAACTATGTATCTTAAAAAAAGAATATCACATGGTAAGTTTTGATCTATCAAAAAGGCAAGTTGGAGAAAGACTTTTGTTATTTAAAACCACAAGTTGGTTCCCTGTTGTCCTTAGGATAATTTCCAAGCTCCCAGTCCTGCTTTCTAAGGCCTTTTGCTTCCTGGAGTTTCGTCTCCCACTGCTTAACCTCCTGCCACATGGTTGGTGCTGCAGCAACACTAACTGCTTGGCATTCCCACTTAACCCAAGCTGCGCCTGCCTCCTCCTCTTTGTCCGTGTTTGAATGCTCTCCACTCCACACCTGGACAACTCCTCAGCAGGAGTCAAGACCCATCTCAGGCATCGTGTCAGGCTCAGCCAGTCACCCCTCTGTGCTTGCGTTGCTAGTGAGCACTTACATTACTGCACTCACTTTGGTATATCAAAATTATGTTTTTATCTGCCATCTCTTTCATTATTGCACTACTGGTTCCTTCAGGACATGGTCGTAGTTAATTATGTGTCCCTGGTACTTAGTGCAAGGCAATAAAAAACACACCCACATCTATGTGTAATTGGCTCTTCTCTTGCTTTGTACTGCTGTAGTTTAAATTTTTGGATTTTGTTGTTTTCTAACAGTGTAATTTACTGGTCTACTGGAAATATCCTCTCTCAGCCCTGTTGATGTCTTCTGCTTATATGTAACTCAGAGGTTGTAAGCAGTAGCTGGTGGAGGACCAGCACGCCTCATATTTATGCCTTTAGAGCTCACCCATGACCGTCTGCTTGCTTTTGGGGAGTGTTGCCTTCACCTGGTTGCCTGCGTCTCTTTCTAATCCACTCAAGGGGCACCCAGTCCCAGTGCACTGCTCAAGGTTTTCTGTCTCAGCAGTTCCATGATGACCTCTTCTGGTCACTTTCCCTGCTTTCTGGCTCATTTTGTCATTTATCTGAAAATGTATTGATCTAGAAGGACCAGGGCTGAACACTTAGGAAACAAGATGATGTTGGGTCTGATGGAGAAGACAAAGATCACTGCACAGAGCTAAGTGCTGAAGAAGTTCCACACTGTGTAGGAGCATAGGAAGGAGGGGACTAATCTGGTGTGGAGGATCGGGGCCGGCTTCACAGAACAGGTGACCCCAGAGCTGAGAGAGAGCCATGGCAGCTGGAGAAGAGGGTGACCTGGGAGAGGGATCTGCAGATAAGGTACATCAGACACCTCTGGGGAGCTGTAATACACAGTAAATAGTGGTCTACCCAACTTTCAGTTGCTGCCTCTGATTTTCTTTTCTCTGAACATTAACCAAAACAACCAGTTTTGAAATGACATGAACCAGTTTTTTTGCCTGTGAGGGCATATTCTGAGTTCTTAAATTCCAGCAACACTAGAAGCCTTCAGGGGGTAAGTGATAAAGCGGGGCCTACAGTACTACATCTTCTGGAAAATTCCTCATTACTAGAGATGTTTCAAATGGTACAGAAGAGATACTACCAGACCATTTCAATCAACTTTGGTGACGTCCAGTTTCCATACAGTAAAACACCTATTTAAAGTGTACAGAGCTTTGAGAAACCATATACCTATGTAACCACCATTAGAATAAAGAAAAATAACATTCTTATCACCCAAACATGTTCCCTTTTGCCCTTTCCCAGTTAATCCCACCCTAGTCCCAAGTACCTGCTTTGGGTCAGTGTAGATTAGTTTTGCTTGTGGGGCATCACATAAATGGACCCATACAGTATGTAATTCTGTGTGTCTTGACTTCTTTTGCTTTGGCATGTTTTAAAGACTCAATGAAGTAGTTATGTGTTTGGGTATCTCTCTGCTGAGTAGTGTTCCATTGTATGGACAAACCTTTATTAATCATCCACCTGTTGATAGAAATTTGGGTTTCCAGATTTGGCTTTTATGAATAAAACTGCTATGAGCATTTGTGTAAAAGTATTTATTTGGACATGCCTCTTTATTTCACTTGGGTTAATGCATAGGAATTTAATTTCTGGGTTATAAGTGTGTTTTTAACTTTATAAGAAATTGCCAAAAATTCTCTGTAGTGGTTGTACCATTTTACACTCCTCCCACAGTATGTCTGTTCCTGTTGCTGCACATCCCTTGCCAACACTTGATATTGTAACTTGTCTGAAATGTAATCCACCCTAGTCAGGTGTGATGGTGTCTCTGTGTGTTTCTAATTTGTATTTGTCTGCTCAGTGATGGTGTTGAGCACCTTCTCATGTGCATGTTGCCATTTTGCCTCATCTTTTGTGATGTGTCTTTACATCTTTTGCCCATTTTTAAATTGGGTGGTTTGTCTTTTTTTTTTTTTAAGATTTTATTTATTTGACAGAGAGCTCAAGCAGGGAGGAGTGGCCAGCAGAGGGAGAGGGAGAAGCAGACTCCCCGCTGAGCAGGGGAGACCGATGCAGGCTCAATCCCAGGACCCTGGGATCATGACCTGAAGCAAAGGCAGGTGCTTAACTGACTGAGCCACCCAGGCACCCCATGTGGTGGTTTGTCTTCTTATTACTGACTTGTAAGACTCTTCTATTTCGTAGGTGAAAGTCTCTTTCCAAATATGTTTTCATTATGAATACTTTTAGTCTTTGGCTTCCCTTTTCATTTCTTTTGGGGGGGAGGGGCAGTGGGAGAGGGAGAGAATCTCTTCGTTTTCTTAATGTATCTTTTGAAGATAAGATTTAAAAATATTTTTAATTAAGTCCACAGAAATTTTTATAGTTTATACTTCTTGAGTTCTGTCTAGGTTTTTAAAAAGCTGTTTTCCAGTTGTTATTGCTAGTGTGTAGAAAACATTTGATTTTAGCTTGTTGACCTTGTATCCTGCAACCTAGATGGATTCACTTATTAGTTCCACTAATCTTTAGAATTTCTAGATTCTTTTTTTTTTTTAGATTTATTTAGAGAATGTAAGTGGGGGGAGGGGCAGAGGGAGAGAGACAGTCTTTTTTTTTTTATAATAGATTTTATTTATGAGAGAGGGAGAGAGCTCAAGCAGGGGAGGAGCAGAGGGATAGGGAGAAGCAGACTCCCTGCTGAGCAAGGAGCCCTACTTGGGGCTGGATCCCAGGATCCCGGGACCATATCCTGAGCCAAAGACAGACACTTAACCAACCGAGCCCCCCAGGTGCCCCTGGAGAGAGAATCTTAAGCAGACTCCCTGCTGAGTGTGGAGCCTGACACAGGACTTGAACCCATGACCCTCAGGTCATGACCTGAGCCGAAATCAAGAGCCAGACGCTTAACAGACTGAGCCACCCAGGCGCCCCTGTATTTCCAGATTTTTTAGCATTTCCTAGGCAGATAGTCAAAGAATTTTACTTTTTCCTTTCTAATTTATATAGACTTGGTCTGCCCACATCTTTTTTTCTGAAGTTGTTTGTGTAATAATATTATTTCTTCCTTATTTTTTTCATTTTTTAAAAAGATTTTACTTTATTTGACAAGAGAGAGACACCACGAGAGACGAACACAAGCAGGGGGAGTGGGAGAGGAAGAAGCAGGCTTCCCGCCAAGCAGGGAGCCCGATGCGGGGCTCGATCCCAGGTCCCCAGGACCGTGACCCAAGCCAAAGGCAGACGCTTAACAACTGAGCCACCTAGTCACCCCTATTACTTCTTCTTTAAATGTTTGATAAATTTCACTGGTGAAACCCTGGGGATTTCTTTGTTAGAAAATTACAAATTCAACTTTTCTAATAGATAACACTTGCGATTTTTCCGTTCTTGTGCCAATTTTGGTAACTTTGGTAACATGCTTATCTTTCAAGGAATTACTTATTTTATCTAATATATTATTGGCATAAAGTTCAAAACATTCCATTTTTATATTTTGTGCTATTTTACAATCTGTTTTAATTAGTTTTATTTTTATTTTTATTAAGATTATTTATTTGACAGAGAGAGACACAGCGAGAGAGGGAACACAAGCAGGGGGAGTGGGAGAGGGAGAAGCAGGCTTCCCGCTGAGCAGGGAGCC